TGCTCAGACTGTCGCTACACTCGCGACAGTGGTGAATAGCATCAGCGGGCACCCACTTGAGCTCGGCAGTGTGGACTTGCCTGCCCTTTTCACACTGCCCGGTTCATGAGTCATTTCCTGGTCGCCATTGCTGGTGCCTGGCCACTTCTCCAACATCCTTTGCCATGGGGACCAGTCTGCTGGAGAATGCAGACACCATTCAGATACTACTCACGCTGTGTTTTGATTTGTGGAATAATAGAGTACACTGCACTGATTGAAAAGAGAACGAGCAAGAGGGAAAAAAACAATGAAAGGAAAGCATCTCCAAAGTATAAAGAATGGAAGAAATACTTCAAACACAAGAAAATGAATCTCAGCAGATTAATTTTAGGGCAAAAAAAAAAAAGGTTACATAATCTCAGAATCACAAATAATAATATTTGAGAAATGATACAAATCAGGAAAATTTTCAAACATCTGGAGGGAAGCAAAAATGTAACCAATCTTCAATAGGGTGAAACAGATTTCAGAGATTAGAGTGCAGCCAGGAATCTTTAACGTTAATTTCTAAGCAAATTTCTAGAATGAATCATTGAACAGTTTCTGAACACTTGGAAAATAATGTGTCACAACTAAGGGTCAAGTTGGGATCACTGAGGCCAAATAATGACAAAATAATAAAACTCTCTGGTTAAAAGTGTCATTACACTGGGAGATACAATAGACTAAGAGCCACGAACTCAAATAGGGGGCGTGCAATACCACAGCTGAGAGCAGCGGTCTAGCGTCAGAACCACAGGGCATGGCGGGGTGGTGGCAAACTGGAGAGGCCATGCTCAGTCCCAGCTGAGCTGCCCCATGTAGCTCCTGTCAGTTGTTGCCACTGGAGAAGGCTAGCCCCAGGCAGGCTGGCTTCACACACACACACACACACACACACACACACACACACACACCTGGGAATCCGAATATTGGCATGCCATCTCCTAATTTTTGAAAGTTGGTGATTAATTAAAGGTTTGTAAAAGACTCTAAAGGCCAACAAAACTCATCCATAGACTAAATTCATCCTGCAGGGCTAGCACCATACTACCACTGAACAGACTATTCTGCATTTATTGAGTGTGGGTTATTAACTTAAACCCCTGTGCTTCAGTTACATGAGCTATAAAAATGAGAAAAATGAAGATCAGGTGAAATAATAACTTGAAAGTGCTCTGTATATTCTAAAGTACTACCCCACTCTGTTGGCATTATCTTGATTTCAGCAAGGCATCTGGTAAAACCACACATGAAGTCCTAGCGAATTAGATGGAGATATTGATGTTGAACGATAGCACAATTTGAGTGGACTGTTACCTGGCTGAACCATAACTAAACATCAGTGATGAATAACTTCAAGTTAATATGACCTCCCCTGACCTTCCCACTGAGAATCATAACTGCTCCTCACCTGCAATTCCTTTCCCTGATTTCCTCCCTCACTTCCTGTTTTGCTTTTTTCGTAATACCACTTAACATATTTTACTTAGTTCGTTTGTCGTCTTTCTTCCTCCAGTACAATATAAGTATCTGAAGGCAGGAATATTTGTCTGTTTTGTTCACTGCTGTATACCAACTGCCTATGGAAGCATCTGACATATAGTAGGTGCTCAATAAATATTTGTTGCATAAACGAATGGATGAATCTACGGCTAGATCTTCAATAAACGAACCCAATGCCCTTCCCCTTTCAGAACCTTAACAGTAGTCTGGCTGAAGATACACTGAATAAAATTTCAAATGACCCACAGTTAGAAAGGAAAGGTAATATAATGGACGGTTGAAACAAAAGTTAAAATTACCTAAATAAATTGGGATGTTGGTCTGAAAATAAATAACTCACATTTGATGAGAACACATGTGAAGTCTTGCTTTTACTTCCCAAATCCCAGCTTCACAAGGTGCATAAGACCTGGCTTAACAGCCATTTTCATTGACAATATGTTTAAAATTAACCAATGAAAGATAACCAGATAATGAAACCCACCAGTCTTTTTGAATAAGGACACTATAAATTAGAATTCATTGAGTACAATACGGCCATAAGTCTGTAATTAATGACCTTTGGGTAGAATCAAAAGTTTGATCAAATCAAGGCCAAAACCTTGGAGGTGTGTTTGACTGCATTCTTCCTCACACTTCACACATCACTGGGAAATCCCGTTGCTTACCTTAAAATACATTCTTTTAAAACATAAGAAGATAAATCCCTCTGCACGTCCCCATTTTATGCAGAGAAAAGCAAAAGTCCTGCAGTGACCTGCCGGACCCTGTGTGGTTCTCTCCTTCCCCATCTGATTTTCTCCCTACTATTATACTATTTGCTCTGTCCCAGCTGTCCTAGCTTCCTTGATGATTCTCAAACACCCAGGGCAAGCTCTAGCATCCCCACCTGGCACAGCATTGCATGCAAGCCTGGTCATCTCTTCTCAGCCAGAGCCATCTCATCTCAGCCAGAGGATCCCCCATATTGCGCCAAGTTTTAGTCAGCCTGCCTCATGCCCTGCCCCAATGAGATGATACCTCTTTCTTTGCCAGAAAACTCCATCCCCTCTCTAGACATTGCTTGGGTTCTACCTCCTGCACAGAGGTCCCACTGCTTGTGAGGTCCCACTCATAAGCCAAACAGATCTGTTTTGGAGTCTGTGTTTTCACTTAGAAGCTGTGCAGTCTTGGGAAAGTTATTTGGCCTTTCTGAGCCTATTTTTGCATCTACAAAATGGGGATTAAAAACCTCCAGTGTTTCTGGGAGAATTATATAAAATAATCTATGTAAGTTCTGACAGTGATTACTTAATGTAAATTAGCTATTATCACTATTATTTGTTATGTACTATATTTTATACTATTGTTCCAGAAAGGTGAAACAGCTTCCCCAAGGTCACACAACTGTTTGTTGGCAGAGCTTGATTTAGCTTTTCAGCCCATGAACAACTCTTTACCCTAATGGAAAACACAATGACTTCAGGATTTGTAAGCCATCTACATTCTTTAAGCATGAGTCTCAGTGCTGGCATTCTTATACCTCCAAGAAGTGCCATTAGGCCATTTCAGCCCATGAACAACTCTTTACCCTAATGGAAAACACAATGACTTCAGGATTTGTAAGCCGTCTACATTCTTTAAGCATGAGTCTCAGTGCTGGCATTCTTATACCTCCAAGAAGTGCCATTAGGCCACGGTGCTGGGATTTACAGGAAGCTGTTTGTTCCCAGGGATTTTGTAGCAACCCCAACCAGGAGGAACTGGGGCTCTGTTCTGCTTCATCAGAATCAAGAGATGCTTCCAGGCTTGCCTACCCAAGTGAAGACCCCGAGGAGTGCTTTTTAGCACCATGAGTATACACACAGACCCTGGAGCCAGACTGCCAGAGTTCAAATCCTCACTCTACCAACTTATTAGCTCTATTACCATTACCAAGCTCCTTAACTTTTGTGCCTTTATTTCTCCATCTTTAAAACAGGGACAAAACAGTATCAATGGTACCTCATAGAATTGTGAGGATTAAATCAGCTAACTGATTTAAAGGACTTTGAAAAATGTCTAACACCTTATAAGTTCTCAATAAGCAATAACTACATTCCAGTCCCTGTGAATACATTTTTTCACTCCTAATTCCACAGATATTTCAGAGTGCCCAAAGCAAAGAGTTTCTCCAAGGTAGAGAAATAGTACCAAATCATTAAGAAATAAATCCCACTGATTTTCAAGACTAAACTGAAGCCTTCACTGAGGTTGGGATGTATCAATAACTACATTCCAGTCCCTGTGAATACATTTTTTCACTCCTAATTCCACAGATATTTCAGAGTGCCCAAAGCAAAGAGCTTCTCCAAGGTAGAGAAATAGTACCAAATCATTAAGAAATAAATCCCACTGATTTACAAGACTAAACTGAAGCCTTCACTGAGGTTGGGATGTATAGTAGCAGACTTCTTGGGTCACAGGGAGAGAAGGACCTGGACCAGATGAAGGCTGGGCTTGGATTTAACAAAACAGACTCATCTATTTCCACCACCGAGAAACCTTAGCTCATCTTTTTTTTTTTTTTTTTTTTAAAAAAAAGATGACCGGCAAGGGGATCTTAACCCTTGACTTGGTGTTGTCAGCACCACGCTCACCCAGTGAGCAAACCGGCCATCCCTATATAGGATCCGAACCCGTGGCCTTGGTGTTGTCAGCACTGCACTCTCCCGAGTGAGCCACGGGGCCGGCCCAAACCTTAGCTCATCTTAAGATGCATTTCCTAAGCACAATGAAGAGGGGTTCTGTGGCTTCTCTCAGCCCTGCCAGCAACTCTCTTCCCAGGTCTGCATTATACCCTCCTGTAAACCCGCTCATTTCATATGAGTGGTGCTTTGCCTCCTCAGAAAGGATTTCTAGATGTTGCTGCCACTGAGTCACTATGAAGAAGGGCCTGGAGTCCACCAAGCCCCTGCAAGGAAGCCACTGCCTTCAGGTGGTGGTCCACAGGTATCAGATGGCAGGCAGCCTAGCAGACAACCACACGTTCATGTTCCCACCCCTGCTGACTTCCCGATCCCAGCAGATATGGTCTTAGAAATGCGTTCCCACTGGGGCTCCAGAATCCTCTCACCATAGCTGAGAAATGGCCCCTCCCCAGGTTCCTCCCCACAGAGCAAGCCCTGCCTTCATCACCTCCATTTCCTCAGCTGCTTCTGCCTCATCCGTCAGCCCTCAGCTGCTGAAAGACATAAATGCTCTCAGCTGTCCCCAGTGCCTGGGCCTTCCTTCCAGCATCTACTGCAGCTCAGAGGCCCTTTCCAGACTGGTGTTATACCCCATTTGCCCCCATGTCTTGACTGACCTCTGTACCCCTCATGTCTGCCCCCACAGGCAGCAGGTCATCTCCCTGGGAGGCCCTTAACAGCCTGCATCCCTCAAGGTCTCCTTTGCTCCTGTGACCCATGGGTTCTTAGACTCTCTTCTCATTTCCATTCCCTCCCCATTCCCACCTGGAGCAAACCTGTGCTTCGACAGCTCATCTTCTATCAGTTGTGACATGTTTTTCAAATACTCCAGGTCATGAACCATGAGGGGTTGGGAGGGGCTCAGGGTCATCGGTGTGAATGTCGCTTGCAAGCAGGACAACCAGTCGATGGTAGGGGCCATTTCCTTAAAGGAAGGACACAAAGCTGGGGGGATGGGGGAGGGAAAGAGGAGAGAAGGAAGGGGAAAGGGCTTCCTCTTGGGTTTGAGAGAAAGTGAGGAAGGGGATGGTTGGGGGAGGGGATGGAGCCAGAGAAAGTTAGGGATGGAAAGAAACTATGGGCATTAGAAGGAAGACAACAAGGAGGTAAAGAAAGTTTGGGAGAGAGACCCTTGCGTCCACGGTTCTCTGGTCCCTGGTTCAAGGCACCTGCAGTTGGTCAATAGTGACCATGTGGTAGAGCTCGCCAGGTGCCCGACGTGGCTCCACGGGTTTCAGGAACTGGAACAGCCGCGAGGCAATGGCAATGGACATAGAGGCATGTTCTTGCACCTTGTCTGGATTTCCTCCCAGCAAGGTTCCCAGCCGATTCAGATAAGTCAGATATTCTCGAAAGATCTGGGGGAGGGCAACCTAGGTCACAGATGCCAGAGGCCACTACCTTTCTCCTGGCCTCAGAGGGCAGGGCCTTTGTCCACACACCATCTTACCTGGGCGGAGATCTTCTGTTCCTGCTCTTGCTTGAGGAAAACGTCAAACTCAGGCTGTTCTATCTGGACACAAGAGAGACTGGAAAGAAGTGGAGAGCATGGGCGACAGAGAGGGCAGATGTGTGGAGGTAGGGAATGTACTGTGGAGACTGTTTCGGGAGATGGGAAGAAAGAGCAGACAGAGAAGGAACAAGAGTATAAAGAAAGGGAGAGACTGAGTGTGAGGAGTAAGACGGGAAACTCCAGACATGGGAATGAGAGAGATGGTGGTTATTACAACCAGTTTGGGGATGTTCTGCAAGACAGTAGCACAGTAACCAGCATCCTAAAGGGAATCATTGCCTGTGCCAAGCCAGGTCTAGCATGAGAGAGGTGAGACATCTATCTCAGGTGCAAAATTTAAGAGGTACTAAAAACTCAGTAATCAAGGTAAATATTTTAAGTAATACTTAACAAATCGAAATTAATACAAAAAAATTCATGATAAATAAAATATCAGAACACTCAGTAATCAAGGTAAATATTTTAAGTAATACTTAACAAATCGAAATTAATACAAAAAAAATTCATGATAAATAAAATATCAGAACTTTTCTTATCATGAATTTTTCCAAAAAAAACTCTACAATGTATTTTTGATTCATTCTGGAAAAATTGTGTTTTCAAAAAGGTCCACAATAGAGTTTTGTTCTATCTTGGGGGGGGTGGGGGAGGAAGCATGATCTATTGTCAAAAATTTATGATGAACAAAAATTTGATATTTTGTTCATTATAGATTTTTGCATTGATTTTGATTTTTTGGTTTGGTCTAGTTTGTTTTTTTGGAGGCTGGCCAGTACAAGGATCCAAATCCTTGACCTTGGTGTTATAACACTGTGCTGTAAATA